CTATTTCTGTGTTTCAAGAGACATTGAAAATGAGATTCAAACGACCTGCAGAGCTTCAGAATACACATAATCAACTATACTGCCCTTATTTCTTAAGGAAAATGTGTATGCTAAAAAAATAATTAAAACAAGCAAACAAGAACCAAAACACCCTACAAAAAAAAAAAAAAAAAAAAAAAAAAAAAAAAAAAAAAAAAAAAAAAAAAAAAAAAAAAAAAAAAAAAAAAAAAAAAAAACCAAAACAAACCCATGAAAACCAAACAAACAAATAAAACATCTGGCATGAATTAGTTTAAATAAATGGTTTAAAATCTGAATACTAGCCATTATTCAGATTCTTTAAGTGGAGAAGTTCATATCCTACTCTTTCAATAATACATTTTCAACTCACAGACACAAATTACAGTGAAGTTAAAACATGTGTTTCCCAAAATGTCATATTAACTTGACTCAATTGCACTGAAATCAAATGGCGTGTGCTGAATGTAACTGTGGGATTACTGGAGTAAATTGAAAGAAAATCAGTAGGTAAACATGAACCACTTGAGAAAGGTGCCTCAAAGGAAAGGTCAGTGAAAGGGCAAACAAATACTGCATTTGTTCTCAAAACATTTGTTGAAGAAGGTGGCCATGAAAGGCAAATAATACATAAATTCATCTTAACAATCCAGCAGCACTTCCATAGATAAAAATAATGAGTTATCTAAATAAATGTGTTGTGATGTAAGACAAAAAGTCCAAATTATGCTATTGAACCTCTAAGACTTTAAAGCTCTGTGTCTATGACTTTATCATTCATATGTTTCATGATTTAGAGTTGCTGCAAATGATAAAAGTATCTCTAATTCCATTTGTATGAGTGCATGAAATAAAGCTCTCTACATATTTCTCATCTACCTGCTTTTAAGTCAATGTTTCAGAACACCTCATCAGTTCAGGCTTATTTTCAGGCAGGCATTTTGATTCTCATATTTACCTGAAGAGCAGAACATAGCCTAAAATAGAAAAATCAAATATTATTTTTGTCAAATTTTTGTTTGTTTTAGAAGGGTGAAAACAGGAAGGAAAGAGAATAGCTGTATTTTAATGCAATTGTATAAATCAACTGGTAGAAAATGTCCAGTTGAAGTCTCAGGATCTGCTTCAGATTTCAGTGTACAATCAGAGTAAAATAGTAGTTACACTTAATCCAGTAAACAAAATCACTGATTTCAAAAATTCCAAATGTCATGGGGTCACTACGCAAAAAGCAGAAAGAAGCAGGATTCCAGACTGCTGGTGAATAAGACACACATGCTGGCATCTCCCTGGGGAAAAGTTCCTTATTAACAAGACATCCCTTTAAAGCACTTGTAAAGAGAAACTCTTCACAAAATAAAAGAAGAAACTTCATACCAAAGCAATGAAAAGAAGAAAGTTGAAGCACAACATATTCACTCCTACGAATCTCCTGGATAAGCACAAAATAGATTGAATTCTACAAGCAAAACATTTTCTACTGCAAATTTAATTAAAATATTAATAATAATAATAATAAAAAAGCTAACCTAAAGAAATGTATATTGTGCAGAGTGGTAAAAAATAGGATTTTACAATTTGGGAAGATGTCCATTTCACCCACTTAAAACCAGTGTCCCCGGACACTGGTAAAAACCAAGGAAACTTTATTTATCACTACATATCTTAAAAGGCAGATTTGCAGAGTGCAGTATGCTCCTTTTTGGTTTGTGGTATGGTGGGGAGTATGTGTGTGTGTTTTGTTTCAATTTTTATTAAAGCAAAGCTAATTCAAGCTCAATAAATTGTCTGGACAGCTTTGAAATGTTAAGAAAAAAAATCCTTTTGTTTGAGCATAAAAACACTGCCAGTTAAACTCCTCCCTTGTGATGAAATTAGGAGAGGGAATATTTGGCCTTGGCAGATAATTATGACATTCATAAGCTCTTAACGTAAGGGGCTGGGGGAGGGGGTGACTGTCTGCTACTTGTTCTCAAACTGCTCTGATTTTCTGGAACAGAACAAATACAGCACAGTTCTCTCTCTCCAGTCTTAGACACCAGCACTTCTCAAAGAAAAGGCTTCAGTCATTCTTCATAAAATTTACTGCAGCTTTATCCGTCAAAATATAATTCCTGAACCTAAGAGTTTCAGTATTTCCAAAGCAAATGATCCAAATGTATTGACTTTTTCTTAGCCATCCAAATTATCTGAAAAGTCATACACATTTAAGACTCACATAATAATGCCTTTCTTAAAAACAAACAAAAATTGCAACCCTCACAAGCACCACAATCTTCATTTGATAATGTAAGTGTTCCTCACCACTGCAATCCCCCCCCCAAAAAAAAACCCCAAAAAATCCCATGAGTTTTTCTAATATCCTCTCAAATCACTGATTCAATTGAGTCACTTCAAGATGTACAATAAATCCCTCACCTCAATAATGCTCATTAAAATTAAAAATAATAAACTCAGCCCCAAACACCACTGTAGAAAACGCCTCTTCCCTAGCAACCTAAATGGGTGTATTTTCCATATGCAGATGTTCTCCCATTCCCATTTACTATGCCCTGCTGTGGAATGAGGCTGCACATTTCTGTTACTTCTACAGACAGTTAAAAAAATCATACTCGGCCAATGAAATTCCCTTTATTAAAAAAAAAAAAAAAAAATAAAATGAAGCTGTTTCTTTAAATTGAGGAAAATAACTTACTATCAATATTAGGTTTATTCAGCTTTCCTTCTCTTCTTTCCATCACCCCCTCATACATATCCTATAATTTTTAAAACTCAGTTTAATAGCATCTGTAATTCCACTCCATTATTTATCTCCTGACATTTGTGATAGTAAGATACCTAAACTATGCAATCCTCCCACGCTGCAGAAATCACACTTCACAAAGTCGCTTTCTTTTCTTTGGAGGAGGCGCATTCCCCATCTCTGCGCACATCATTACACCAGGTAGATCAATGCAAAGCCCGTAGGAAGCCTTCCCGTTCTCCTCCTCTGCCATCCCGGTGCCGGCTGTGCGGAAAAGCCTCCGGAGTGTTCCCGAATCGCTGCTCCTCGGGAGACATCCCCAGCTCACCCCGAGGGGGCAAAAGCAGGGGAGCATTTTCTGCAGCAATGGAGAGCACCTGGTGCTCCGTTTTTACTAACTGGCGCCGAAAGAAACCGCCTGGATGGTGCCAGGTTTAGCGACAGATACATGGAAGGAGACTTGGCAGCTGCGGTTCTTGGTACCTCAAAGCACCATGCCTGACCCCCTCCCCGTCCCTTCCTTAAACGCGACAAATCTCGCTGCCCCCGCCCAGGACACCGTGGGTGGCACATCCAGCCCGGCACAGGACACCGTGGGTGCCACATCCAGCCCCGCACAGGACACGGTGGGTGGCACATCCAGCCCGGCACAGGACACCGTGGGTGGCACATCCAGCCCTGCCCAGCCCTGCACAGGACAGCATGGGGGACACATCCAGCCCTGCGCAAGGCACCGTGGGTGCCACATCCAGCCCGGCACAGGACACCGTGGGTGGCACATCCAGCCCGGCACAGGACACCGTGGGTGGCACATCCAGCCCGGCACAGCCCTGCACAGGACACCGTGGGGGACACATCCAGCTCTGCCCAGGACACCGTGGGTGTCACATCCAGCCCTGCGCAGCCCCGGGGCGAGGCCGCCCCGTCCCGGTCGGTTCCCGGCGTGGCCGTGGAGCTCGGCCGCCCCCTGGTGGCGGGCGGCGGCAGCGCGGCCCGGGGCCGGCCCCGCCGCTCCCGCTGACATCCCGCTGAGGCGTTTGGGCTGGGTGGGGTTTATTTCTCCCCTAAAACCTCCCTAGCAAGTGGGGCCACGGCCCATCCCCTCAGGTGCAGGGAATGAAGCCTCGCACAGAGCAGAGGGGCAGCGGGAGTGGAGGCAGGGACAGCCCCGCGCGGCTCAGCGCCCCGGCCGGACGCCGGGAACTTGCCCGAACAGTTTCCAAACACGGCGGTGGTTATCCCTCACCCAGCGGCTGCGCCCCTCCCGGCGCCCCTTCCCGCCCAGTCTCCTCCAGGAGCACAAATCCTTAAGTAACCACGCAGGGGACATCCAAAAATAAACAAATAAATAGGTATAAATATATATATATATATGAGCCCCAGAAAACAAACCAAACCCCGTGGCCGCAGCACAACCCCCGAGTCCGCGTTTCTCGAAGCACTGTACGTATGTATATAAATAAACACACACACACACATATATATATATATATATATAGATATATATATATATAGATATATATATACACGCACATACATATGCAAAGGACCAAGCGTGCCCGAAGGCTCCAGCCCGGCGCGCCCCGATCCCGCACACACCTGCCCCCGCGGTGCGATTCCGTGGCACAAGGGCTCGCACCGCACACAGCCCCGCGGCCCCGACAGCGCCGTCCCCTCCGCGCCACCCCCGAGTCGGGGCTCGGTGTCCCGGCAGCGCGCGGGGAAGGGTCTTCCAGAGAGGAGAAACCCCGATAGGGAGACTTCAGGTGGGGTTTCTCGCGGGCTCTACCGCCAGCACTTCTCCCTGCTCCTAAGAACGAAGCCCACACTGCCTTCCCCGCGGGCAGATGCGGATTTTAAAGACCAGTGCTCGACAGATTTTGTGTAATCGCTTCATCTCTCTCATACATTCATCGGGTGCAAATTTAAAAAAAAAAAAAAAAAAAAAGGCAAAATCCTATGCAACGCAGCTAAGTGCACTTAGTACTGTCCAGCTTTTTTTCTTTTTTTTTTTTTTCCTCCTTATAAATGAGACCTCTTGAAGACTGAAACGAAAAAAAAAAAAGCTAGGCGATGAAGCAAGTTTTAGGTCCTTCTTAATTTGATTCCAGGATAATGCATTGCTTTAATTTTTTTTCTCCGTTTCTTTTCCATTAATTTGAGGGAGTGGACAGCATAGATAAGAATAATAATTAAAAGGGGGGGAAAAAAAAAAATAAAAAGGCGGCCGCGCTCCTACCTTGCCCGCTACTGAGGAGCAATCCGAGCAGGTAGAGAGGCAGGAGGCTCATGTTCAGGAGCTCTCGCCGGTGGACAGTTCCAAGTCGGAGGATGCTCGGCCAGCCCAGGCAAACCCTGCCGCTGCCGCTTCTGCCTCTGCCGCCGCCGCTGCCCGCGCAGCCCCGCACCCGCGGAGCGCCGCTCGCCAAGTGCCGGCCGCGCCTCCCGTGCCGCGCTATATCGGCGGGGCCGCGCCGCCGCGCAGGGGGCGGGCGCACGGCGGGCCGGCCGATCCCTCCGCCGCACACGCACCCCGCCACAGCGGCGAGCGGCGGGCCCGCAGATTCCTCCGCCGCTCCGAGAGGTGCCAGCAGGACCGCAGCATTCCACCCTACATCCCCTCCTGGATCCCTTCCTTGTCTCCCCGTGCGTCCCTCCCCGCATGCCCGCCTGCCGACAGCCCCCGGTGGGGTGAGGCGGCTCACCCCGCCTCGCCGCCGCGGCCCCTCCATAGCCCGCTCCCGCCGCCGCTGACGGAGGGGACGCAGCCTAGAAAGGAGAGGCGGCGGCTTGGTGGAGAGTCCCACTGGGAAGCCCCAGCATCCCGGGAGAGCACGGGAGAGGCGCCCCGGCTGCCCGCGGGCGGGGACGCGCCCCGGGGCTGGAGTGGCCCTGGCACCCCGTTTTCCGTCGGGAGGGGCCGGCGGGCGCTGCGCGGGGCTCGGCGGGTCCCCCGCTCCGCCCGCGGGCCGGAACGCGCCGCTGCGCCCGCGGGAAGCGGGACCGCCGCGGGGCCCGCGAACGGGCGCGTCTATACCTAATCCCGTCGGGTTTATGTTCATTCAGCTGTCTAGGAATTCACTTGGTTTGACTTCTGTTATTAGTCCAGAGGGGAAACATACCTCTGCTATTCACGGCTGCGTGAAATAAAACCGATAAGAAATAAATTGCTTACCGTTTGGGTGCTTTGGTGCTGTCTGGCTGAGGATCTTGCTTTGTAAGGAAAAAAAAAACCCGTAACCTGCATAAAGGGGTGGTTTTTTTTGTCCACCTTGACTTTGAAGAGGTAATTCTTTTTGAGGGGGTTAATTAAGCTATAGGCTCCGAAGCAGGTTCCATAAATTTGTCACCTTACCACCTGTATGATATATGGAAGGAGATAGAAGTAGATTTATATTAAAGTGAAGCAGTGATAGTGGATAATAAAGGATTAATCCAAATTAACACATCCCTAATATTTTTTTCCCAACCCTTCCCTTGCCCTTTTCAAGAGGATTTGGGGAGGAGGAGGGAGACAAGAAGTCCCTTTGCAGCAAACTAATATGTATCTCCAGCTTGGCTCCTGCTGTACTGTAGTCTACAAAATGCTGAAATATAGGAAGAAGAAATATTTTTCTGAGGATAGGGGATAAAGTCCAAGTTCTTTCCCCAGAGGGTGGTTTTAGGACGCTTGGGAATGAAACAGAGTGAAGAGAAAATGCTGGTAAAAGGGAATGTGAGGGCTTTTTGCCATTGATTGGTTGATCTACACCACGTAAATCAGAATCATATTGCTCAGCTCCACACCTCACAGTCCTGCTCTTAAGCTAAAGATTTTGTAATATAGTATAAAAGGAACAGATTCATATATATTTAAGTGGAATTGAACTGATATTCCTCATAAAGTTTTGGAAATCCAAAATATGGCAGCCTCAGCAAAGCCTTACAGGTCAGAATGGGATTTATATTTAGGAGGTGCTCTGCTCATGAATGTCATGAGAGATGCTTAATTGCTGGGACTTTTGGCACCGGCCTTTAGTGCAGGTTCAGGAAAGCACAGCAGAGGAAAATTTTGCTGAAATTTTCCCAGGTGTAAAGGTTTCATTAGCCCTAGTACCCAACTGCAGAAATACACAGAAACATTATAAATTAATATAGAAAGATAATGAAAACAATTATAATACTAAAACCTTAAAAACAAAAATAAAACTTGCTTGGCAAAAAGCAAGAAACCCTCACTATCATGTGGGTAGGATGCCAGTTTTATCAAATTTATCTTTAATGTTTTGGAGCATTTCCATCCAGCAAAAATGGAGTAGTTTGAGAAAATAAAAGGAGTGTTAATAAAAAAAAAACAAATAACTTGTACATATACCTGAATATCTATTATAGTCTACCCTATAGTTGAGGGTTAGATCTGCACAGGTTCAAGGACTGAAATCCATGTACACATGCTCCACCACAACACAATACGAAGCAAGTAGGAGGTTTCTTGCCCACAAGAATGCTGCTATCCCAAGTTTGCTTATTTTAAATTATCAATATGATGAGAATTGCACCAGTGTCAGGTTTGAGTGACTAGTCCTTGCTCCTTTGAAATCAGGTGAGGATGCTCTTCTTCCGAACAGGAATCCTTGTTCTGAGAGCTCTGCCCAGTTACTTGTCTGCAGCAGTCACCAGAGCACACCATTGTAGGCTGTCCACAACACATTTGTACAGCATTTGGAGAAATCTGTTGTCAGTCCAGCTTTTTAAGGAAAAGAGGAACATGCTTTTCACTGCTCTGAAACAACGGAGTAAAACAACATAAGATGAGTATAAAGCTCAAAGATAATCACATTATTGTAATACCACTGTGGGAAACAGAGGCCTCCCTGAAAGAAGAGGAAGCAGCTGGTTTGCCCATCAGTAAGCACGTAGCTCAAAGTCCCACAGTCACATATCCCAACTAAAATGTATGTTAGGGTATGTTTAGGTCCCTCCTCCACAGTGGAGAGACAGAGAGAGGAGGGGAGGAGGGGACAAAGTACATAAGTGTGCAGGGTTTCATTGTTTCTGCTGCTTATGGAACAACTCATTAGTTAGAAAATAAAGATCTGTAAATAAATGTGTCCCACAGTGAACCACAACAGCAAATCATGCTGAGGTCACACAAATGGGGATTAGAGAGATACAGAAATAAAGCACAAATTTTCTGCCATCCAAATCTATATGACTCTTGGTGCTCATGACCATACATTAAATGAACCAAAAGATGAGAATTTCAAAGTGCTGTAAAACATTATTTGGTACCCATAACAGACAGACCTGTATTATTTCCCATGCTTTGGCTTATAGCATTATTCCTTAGAGTGTGCTGTTTACTGGGGGGAAGGCCAACATGGAGTTTAATGGCTGTGCTTAGACTAGGGCACAAGAAAACATGATTTCTGGATAATACCGCATGTATAAAAAATATGCTAGCAGAAAACAAGCATATGCTATGTAAGATTTAAAATCAAGAGCAGAAACAAACTACAGTGAGTATTATCCCATGTAAAGTGCTAAGAGGAGCAGCATCAAGTAGTATAATGATCATTCTGCTGGGGCAGTTATTGCAAAGGTGAGGAAGTCAACCTTTGATAGGTTCTCAGAGCAACTGATAGGTTTGATAGGTTCTCAAGGCAATTAAAATGCAACTCCAGTGACTGGAAAGTCTTGCCAGAAAAATCTCAGGGAAATAGAAGGGAAAGTATTACCTAATGTTACCAATCACATTTGATTGGTACCTTAGATCTTTTGGGGTATCACACTCAGAATTGAAGTGGATATATCTGTAAGTTCCCTGTCTTTCACACAGTAGCCTCCAGCTTTCACAACTGCGCTATCATGTGCAGCTTTACTCCCACAAAGATTTACTAGCTGTGAAGTTTGCAAAAAGACAGCAAGAATTAATTTTCCCCCATGTTGCTTACTTGTTTTGCTCAGTGAGATTATTTATACAGGAGTCTATCCTCCCATATGAATAAAAGCAGCAGAATTAGGCTCTGGCAACAGAAACATTTCAAACTCTCATCACTGCACTTGAGTCAGTTTACAAGAACTGAGGATCTGTAAACTTGCTGTGACTGAACTTGTCAAGAAACATCTCCATGGTGTTTTCACAAGGATTATTTTATTTTTAAGTTGATTGATAATTGCATGTTCAATGCAAATGTAATTAAATGTAGAAACTGAAATCTTGGTGATGATTTGATAATGGATATTTATCCTGAAATGCATGTTCCCCAACGGACATCCAAGCTGCCAGAAGATCCAGCTGGATTTGCTTACATGTCTTCAAAACTTAAATGTTAAGAGAGCACTTTAAAATTAGCTAAGAATTTTAGGAGAACGTATGGTAATGGCACAGTTACAAAAAAAAAAAAAAAAAAAAAAAAGGCACAGAGATTGTATATCTGAAAATAACTGGTGAAGAGTTGTAAGGAAATTGGCACATCTTGTGAGCAATTGTCAAATGTTTTGGGGGACAGGAAAGGAGAGAAAAAAAGGAAAAGAGAAAAGACAAAATACCCCTTCTTAGCAGCACAATATGTTGCCCTTGCAGGATAATGCCTTCTGCCGATAGGGTAATTTTCAGAGGTGCTTATGAACAAAATTGCTGATCATCTCCAAAGCGAGTAATTATCCCAACTAGGATGCTTTCCTATGAAAACTGCAAACTCAATTGAAGTGGCACTAAGATAAATTATACAACAGTGAACAGCAGCATTATTGTGGTGAGGAAATGATGCACAATAAACAAAAGAGTTTCATAAATGTTTACACCACATTTATGTTTCAAGTTCTTATTATCTTATAGGGACTTCTATAAAGATATAACTTTCATAAAGATCTAAAATTGCTATGATTTTGGATAAACATTTTATGAGAAAGAGACAAATTCATTCTTTCCACTCTGTTTCAAGTCACTTTTAAATAAAGAGCTCTCCTTTCTGCTAGAGGAACTTAAAACAAATCTGAAATTATTCTGATACTAAGAAGAGATTCACATATTTTGGGGGGTGGGGGATAATGCTTTGTACCGTTTCTGGAACTGAATAATGACAAGGACAAATATAAAATAATTTTGTCCAGGTAAAGACGGCTGCTTAATTTTTGGAGATAGCAAGGTTGTTTGAAGTACAGTGTGCTAATTTAGTTACAATATAAAACATTGTGCTGACGAAGAAATCAATACGCTGAATTTATATGTCTGAAGGAAGCATCGTACACTTCTGTTTCTGGTGCAGCAAAAGTAGCATTTGAGAGACGAGACAAGTTAACTTCTCCGGACTCTGGAGGCAGATTTCCATATGTTCAATGTTC